AGAGTGGTAAATAGAGTTCATGGTATGGGGTACAATTTACTGCTGCTAAATGTGGTTTCAGTTCAGTCTTGAGCATTGGGTTTGAAGATGGGGCTTTCCCGGTGTCTCTGGTGCCAGCAGGCCTCTTCAGTGCTTGAGATACTTTCTTTCATGTCTTATATTCTGTTGTTGAGGTTGTTTTCTGAGATTCTCCTTTGAGTTCCTAAAGTTTTCATTTCCAGATTTCACTCAGTTTGTGTTCTTTATTAATTCTATTTCACTTCAAGGTCTTGAAATGCTTTAGTTATTTTCTTGTATGTGTGTGTGTGTGTGTGTGTGTGTGTGTGTGTGTGTGTTGGTAAATCTGTCTGTCCATGTCCTGTGTAGAGACAGGGAATATGAAGAAGCGAACACAGAAAGGCTCTCTCAGGCAAAGATGAGCTATCAGTTCACTGCGCCTGCCCAAGTCCAGCTCTAGGCTGGAGTGCTGCCTCTGACGGAAGCTTTCTGCCTGGGCTTGAAGAGAAGTTCTCTGAAGTTCTCTATAAGCCCCTTAGACCCAGTCAGCTTTCAGTCTACACACTGCTGCAGCCTAGATTGCTGCCTTGGCCTTGTATTGGGGGTGAGGGTAGGGGCAGTGGTCTTTTATCTTATGTTAGTTGAGTTGTAATGGGTATGTTGGGGCGCCATTTTGTTGTGGTAAATCTCCAACCACAATAAACCCAAGCAAGGGAAATGCAACTCAGTTGTATATTTGTTAACTGCTCACCTATATTGGACAGATATGCCTCTACACCACTTACTTCCCAGCTATGAAATCCCTGATACTTGCAGTTTCTCCAGGCCATGTGATTCTGATCAATTTTCCTTCCAACAATTCTCCCTCTGTCATCCTGCATTTGCAGTCTCCTGTAACTTCTCCTCCACCCCTCCTCTTCCTGTCTTGTCAGAAAACTCACCTTTCCATTGTTGCACAGCGGTTTATTATTTGTCGTCTTTCTTAGCCAGTCAGATAATTAAGGAAAATTCCTTTGAGTGTGTGTGTGTGTGTGTGTGTGTGTTTATATTGAATGTATATTAGTATATTTTTAATGAAAGATCTGGCCTATGATGACTTATTCTGGCTCCTTTTTTCTTAAAAGAATTTTACACATATTTTAATAAACCAGAATCATAACAATTTTTCCTCTTCTTTTGTCTTTCCAGTTTTCCGGAATTCCTCTCATGACTTTCCTACTCTCTAACTGGTAGTCTTTTTTTCTTTGATTATTATTTTTAGTTACACATACACACACACACACACACACACACACACACACACATATATATATATGAATATATATTCTATATGTGTGAATTTGTGTCTGTTTTTTATGTTATATTCCCTTTTGTAAGAGGAAATTTTGAGGAGTGTAAGGTACACTTATCTTTTGGTAAGAATTAAATTGCAGTTAGAATTTATGCTGGTGTAGCATAATTTGAAGTTGGCTAAGTTTCTAGTACTATGCATGATTTTATTGATGTTGAGTGGTTCTCAAGTTCAATTAGACACCTGATAGTTACCACCTGTATGTGAATGTCACTTCCTACTACTTTAGGAATATCTGGTCATGTTCCTCATAGGTGGTGCAGCTACATAGGACTAATAATTGTTTCCCTTCCTTTACAGCTTGCATAGTACTTTCAGATACCATAGAAACTAGACAGCAGGAAGGAAGCTTTCAGATTAGACACACTTTATTCATCAGAATCCTGTTTTCTTAGCATGCAATATCTTTAGCAATATGAAAGGAGGCAGAATGAATTTATATATGAAGCTTCTAGTGTAGTAAAGCAGTAATTTTCCACTTGTCTTATAGAAAGGGTCTTATCTCTTCCTATATGCTCTCCCCTACCCTACAATTTGTTCTCCTGTTCTAGTTGAACCCTTTATGTTGTATTATTCTCCTTTAACCTTAATATTAGTGCATTCTGTCTTTTTCCATTATATATCCTTCTTTATGGTCTCCTGTTAATTTTTGTTTTATCTATGTGGGTAACCTAAATGAATCACAAACATCTAGTGATTCAAAGATAACATCCACAGATGAAAGAAAACATAAGAATTTATGTTTCTGCATCTGGATCACCTCATTCTGATGGTTTCTAACTCATAAAATCTTTTTTGCTTAATTGCTGTATAATATTCCATTGTGTAAATATACTGCACTTTTACTATCCATTTATCAGTCAATGAACATCATGGCTGCTTCCTATTCCTTGCTATTGTGAGTAAAACAGTAATGAATATAGATGAGTAGGTGTCTCTAGAGTAGGGTATGGAGTCATTAGGTATATACCCAAATTTGGTACAGCCTGATCATATGGAATGTATGTTTTATGATTTTTGTGAAACCACTACACTGATTTCTATAGTGTTTCCACTGTGTAGCATTCATGATAGCTATAACTAAGTTTCCTTTTCTCTACATCCATGACAATATTTGTAATAATTTGTTTTTGATATTACTCATTTTTATGAGGAATCATTACAGTGATTTCCATAGTGACAGTTCAAGCTTGCACTCCCAGCAATGAATGTTTCCCCTTACTTCAATCCATATTAGTTATCAGTTGTGTTATTGATCCTAGCCATTCTGATAGGTGTAAGATTAAATCTAAAAGCAGTTTTCATGTGCATTTCCCTGAAGGAAAATAAGAGTGAATATGTTTTTAAAGTGATCTCAGTTGTTTACATTTTAATTGTTAAAAATTCTTTGTTTTCATGCCCCATATGTAGTTCTGTGTGGATGAAACTTCACTTTGTAGATAAAAAGAGACTCTATCACAGTGAGATCCATATACCACTCCCTCTCCAGTGCTAGAAGTATAAGAATGTGCAACCATCCCCAGTTATGAGTTTAATTTATTTATTGGGAATTTTTACATCTATCAGAGAAATGTGCCTATAATTATCTTTTTTTTAATGTATGTTATTTAGTTTGTTATCCAGCTACTGCTAACTTCACAAAATGAGTCTCTTGTCTTTTATTTTGACAAAATTTATTTTAGAAAATTTTTGTGTATGAATGAATGAAGGTATATGAATAGGACATGAATCCATGCATGTATAGGCCAGAAGAAGGCATGATGTTCCATGGAGCTGGTGCTTCAGGCAGTTTTGAGTTGACTGAAAATTAAACAGACATCCTGTACAGCAGTAGTGGGTAGTCCTGACTATTCCGCTATCTCTCTACCAAGAAACATTTTTATATTGTAGTGTGGCATTAAGTTAATTAGGTTATGCCTTCCATAAGTAGTTTCATTCGGTTACTCTTGATGGTTTTGTGAGGTGAGCAAATCATAGTTGTTAATAGAATAACAGGGTTTAAGATCTGACTATTTAGTCAATGACGGAAATGAAATAAATAAAAGTTAAGGGAAAAAATAAGTTCCAGGTATTGATTACAAACCACAGATACAAAGTGTCAGTCACTATGAGATAACATGTGAGACATATCTTGTTCAACCCACAGAATACTTTTAACAATTTTATATTTGAAACACTTCAGCTATTTTTCACTCATTCTAATTTTATTCTCTCTCATCCACTATGCCCAGATATCTAGCACAACCTCCATTTTTATGACTTTAAGATTGACATAATATATAATTGCCAGCAAGTAATTTATTTTGAGAATAAAAAAGAGAAAATTCTGCATTTCATTTCTGTTGCTGAATTATTTAATTTTTATTGACACAAATATTTTAATGGGAATATATAGCTATTTGTATAACAAAAATTTAATTAATGTGAGACAATTGGAAATAAGATTTAAGATATCTCTAAAATGATATGAATATGAATCTCTTATATTTTTAGCTAAAGTGTTCAAAAATATAGTAAAGTTTACATTTATATAAAGCTATCAGAATTCTATATAAATACATAAATTATTTCAATTAACAGAAAACTGGTATGCTTTTCAACATCTTCAATTTAAAAATAAAGTTTTAAAAATTTTCTGAGAAAATCATAATAAAATTAGTGTATATAATAAAATATGAGGAAAGTAAAATGATCACAATGAAGTTGCAAGATCTTTGATAGAATATTTATGTAGACAACAATAATAATGTCTACTAAGTCATTGTCACTTCAAACATAATTTTGTTTATACAGAGAGGTTGAAGAGAAATTGTTGCTGTCCTTTTATGCAACTAATTTGGATATCTGGCTATAAAAAGATGGAAGGCAAATTTTATTACTGATGATTGTAAGGTTTAGGATAGTAGGGATATAGAATTACTATATTCACAGCTCCTATTATGTCCTATATACTGATGATCAACACCAATGGAACAATAATATCTGTAGTTATCATTAAACAACCAACCTGTTCCTTCTGTGAAGTTTTGTGTTTATATATGTCTTTCACAGAGACTGACTTTGTCACTCCATCTACTGTGTTAAATGAGATAAGATGTAAGCACACAAAATGTGTATGGCCTCACCTATAAGAGGACATTTGATTACATAAAACTCTAGAGTAAAAGAGGAAAAACTGGGGTGGGTTATCTACGTACTTACTAACTTATCCTGGACCCATAAGGTTTTCCTTGTCCTTTTGCTTTGTCTGTGATGTCGAATGCTCTCTTTATAATGAGAGGAAGGGAGATCTATTATAAAAGGATATACTCTATTCATGAGTTTCTAGAAGCTACCAATCTATCATCAAATATATTCTATTCATGAGTTTCTAGAAGCTACCCATCTATCATCAAATATATTTCTTCTTGGAGAATGAAAGTTTAAATGGAAAATGAAACTCCCACATGTGTGGTGGTTCTATGGTGGATTATTTTCTTCTTATTGTCACTAGACACACTCCTCAGTACTATGAATCATTCTTAAAGAACACAGTCTGTACTTTAATGATGGCACATAATGCTGCAGAGGTGAAAAGTGTTAGTAATTGTAACTTTGAGTCCCTCACAGGTGTCTGATAGACAATTTACAATGTACATTTGTTGTTTTATAGATTGGAACTTGGGATCCAGCCAGTGGCCTGAATATGACAGAAAGTCAGAAAGGAAAGCCAGCGAATATCACAGACTCATTGTCTAATCGTTCTTTGATTGTTACCACCATTTTGGTAAGTATTTGTTTTTTCAATTATTTTAAATACTATGGATTTAAATACTATGGATGTAGATAAAAAGCACATTTTAATGGGACTACTAATGAATAGAATGCAATATATCATATACTCATTTAGCAATTACTGTAACACAAAAAGATCAATATTAACTCAGTCAGAATTTTATTTTGTTAATCTTCAGTAAGATAAGACATATTAATATTTGGGGCATTTCTAGTGATTAAACAAGTTCATATATTACTGAAAATCTTTGCATTTTTATAGAACTTGTTGATATTGGTGAATTTCCAATGTCAAGGTTTGAAAAACAAATAGATATGCAAATGCAACTAGTTAAATGAATGGCCAAACATAAACTTTGTTTTCTTGCTGAAAATATATTTCAAAGTATATAGTAATTATTTTCAATATTTTATATAATAATTACACTATAATCTGGTTTCAATTTCATTGTTTTCAGCTAGAGTAATAACTATCATTTTACTAATTTCCTTAATGAAACATAATGGAACGTGTTTTTAAAATGAGAAACCTTTTTGCTACCACCATAATTAAATTAATGCTGATAAGGTTGCTATTATTTTTGTTTTACCAATATTGTAATTCTATATTTTAACTGGATTGCCAGTTATGGTCACTCATGCCATTTGTAAAGGAGTATCTTAATTTAAGAATAAGTAGGAGGTTTTAGATTATTTTAAAGATAGCTTACAAGATAGCTTACTAGAGACCTTTCTATATCTCACTTGGCCAGAGAAGACTGAAGCTAGAGTTTCAGGAAACCCTAATAAATACCAACCATAATATCTAGATGTACGTAGAGTGCTCATGCTGAATTTTAGTAACAAAATACATGTCACAACTGAAGACATTTCAAAATAGATTAGGTTATGTTAAAGGCTTTCAACAATAAAGCAGTTTTGATAACAGTGACCTAACACCCTCGCAGTGGTGAGATTTATAAATCTTAGCTAGTCTCAAAATTCTTTTGCACCATATCTAAAGCTTTGAGTTTCTCTTCAAATTAATATTAAGTCTCTTGCTGATGTTTTTTAAATATAACTTCTATACGCATCAAACTGGAACAATACTTCAGCTGAAAACTTCACACCTGACTTCTTGCCCACCAAACCATTTGTTCCTAATGTCACAACTTTCTGTAAAAACTGTACAGTAAACAAGCACTTATCTCTCTTGCAGATAGCTACCCTTTTCTCCTTGGCTTCTTACAGTCTCTATGTGAATCTATTTTCTTCTGCTTTCCTTTTATACAAAATTTATGAAATCCAGAATGATTAGTAAGACATCAAAAATTTTATCTTCAACATTCAAGTTTTTGGGCACTCTTATTTCTTCCTATCCTTTATCTTCATTCCTTCAATAGTAAGCCTGTGATTTGATTGAACTGGGATAACCGGGGACCCAACTGCTGTGATTGTTTAAGCGTTGCTCTCTTTGTTTGTAAACATTCTCTATTTGTGACATTATTTCATTTTTCATTCATACTTTTCAAAATTAATATTCTGCTGGGTTTTGTTACATGTGCATCATCTTCCTACGTATTATGAGAATGCCTGAGGAACATAATTTGGCTATGTCTTTTTTGTCTTTACAGTATCCATGTCACAATGTTCTCAGAGTAAGGATTGTGCCTAAGAAATCTGTAACCTCCAATATCCTGGGATTTTCTATGTTCTCCTAATCAAGCTCTCAAATGTATCTTTAACTTTATGACTTTTTACCTTCACTCAGTTCTTTATTTTCTCCTTCAATTTCTTATTTCAACACATCCCTCTAACTCCATCTTTAATGTGTCTATCCCACAAAGGGCTATAACTGTTTTGCTCAGTTGGGTGTGTGCTGGGTGGTGGGAAGCTGCATGCTTCGCATTCACAATATTCTATTATCCTATCTACCATGCATTAAAAATTATTTTACCATGTGCATCTTTCTCTCTTTAATGTTAAATTACACAATGCAAAGTCTCTCACTTCATATGCTTTTGATTTTTTTTACTGCCAGAGATAAAAAACATTGATATCATACTCAATGAATATTCAAGTTATAAAATATAAAAATGATATTTAGTTAACTTAAGAAAGTACTAACTTTTAAATAACTATAATTGAATATTTTTTAAAGTTTGAGTTTAGTACATTTGTCTAATAAAATGAAAATAATGAAATAATTAAACTTACATATTTTTCTGTTATTGCTTAAGTATTTAAGATTACTTTAAAACAGATATTTATATATTTCATCAATCATAAATATTTTTATTTGTAAATATACATGTATCTTTTAGCTATAGTTTTTATTTGTTTATTAGTTCTTTGGTACTAGTTGTTGAGCTTAAGTTATTGCATACCCTAGACAAGTGTGCACTTGTTCTACTTCAGATTATTGTTATGAGAGGGTCTTGCTAAGTTCCAAAGTTAGCCTTGAGTTCTATTTATACCCCGGGCTATCTTTGACTTTGTGATCTGGCTCAGACTCCTCTGTAGTTGGATATATATATATGTATATGTATATGTATATGTATATGTATATGTATATGTATATGTATATGTATATGTATAT